CATGAAAAATGGCAGTTAATTTTCTCAACCCTAGGCTATTCAAGATGTACTATGACTTTTCTTTGGTAGAAATACAATACCTGTGGTTCCTGATGATGCATAGAGATTTTGTGGAGCAAAACTACTCACAACATTACATTACATTGCATTATACCATGTGGGTGCAAACTCCAATGTGAGCCAATGTTGTGTGTTTACAATGGAAAAGGAGGACATGTATTGTGTTGTTCATCAAATTGGTCCACGATTTTGCTTAACCTGGATGCTGCAACCACCATAAAATAGTAAGATTGGTGTATCATTAGTGAGACACCAATCACTATAATAGTATATAATAGTGTTTAACAGTTTACCAAGGACCACAATTTAAGCTAAAGATAATATTTAATGTTCTAATAAAGAAAAAAAAAAACTTGGATGGGCTGAGAACGAGTACTTTAACTGTACATTTTCAGTTTTCGATGAACTATATCTTTAATTTGGTCCAAAAATATCAAGGAGCTCTACATTCTGCACAATATGTGTGTTATTTATCCTAAATAAGACACATTATAAGAACCAAAAATGGTAGTATTAGTTGTTAATACCTGTCAAAAACATTTCAAATCATCTTGAGACTTGACTTTAAATCAGGGGTGTCAAACTCAATTCCTGGAGGGCCGCAACACTGTAGAGTTTGGTTCCAGCCCTGCTTCAACACAGCTATCTGTAGGTATCAAACAAGCCTAAAGCACTTAATTAGTTTGATCAAGTGTGTTTAATTAGGGTTGGAACTAAACTGTGCTGAGCTGCAGCTTTCCAGGAACTGAATTTGACACCTGTGCTTTAAAGAATTCGTTTACCAACCTGCACACTCAAACTTCTATCATGATTTACTCACCCCAAAGTTGTTCCAAACTGAAAAAAATAAATAAATTCGTCTTCGTAACACAAATTAATATGTTTAAACCAATATTGTGTCCCACCATTGAAACTCTGACCAATATGAAGCAGTTTAATCCAAGTCTTCGGAAAAATCATGATCACTATATATAATGAGCACATTGTAGTCCTTTATTAACATATAAAGAACCTGTTTGACATACAATAACAAACCTCATTGGATCTTGTGTAAGCTCGAAGATGTCATGTGACAATCAAAAACGAACCTTGTTGGTTCTCTCATGTCAAGCAAGCATTCCAGAGCTTCCATAACCAAATTTGAAAGTAGTAAACACTGCTTGCTGATCAGTGTTTATATTCGAATAAATTTAATTAAACCTGTTCAATTTAGAAAGGGATTGCGTCTCTTATTTTTAATCTCTATGAATGTTTTAAAGCATCAGAGTTTGAGTGAACTGACTTTCAGCGGAGTCACAATTAGATTTAATTAAAAATGGCATTAACACTTTACAATAAGGTTTCAGTAGTTAATGAATTTACAAACAAATGATGAACAAAAAAATATTATTTTAATTCCCAGGTTCTGCTGGTTGAGTTTTACAAATTTTCATTGCCAATCTTAAGCCAATTGTGATCATTTGTATTGGGTCAATTTGGAATTTCCCCAACCATTGCAGAGCGCGGAGGACCAAAGTGAGTGCTCCGACTTGGCCCCACCCTGGTCCCGATGAACAATACATTTATTACAGTGTGTATTCATCTTTGTCAATGTTACTTAATGAAAATAAATTCACTCTTTGTTAGTTCTCATTACCTCACAGTTCATTATGTTAACAAACACAATTTGAATTTTAATAATGCGTCAGTAAATTTAAAACTATAATTAATAAATTCCGTACAATTATTGTTCATTCTTGGTTTATGTCAGTAAATACATTACCTTAAATTAATGAAACCTTAATGTAAAGTGTGACTAAAATATCTATATTTGTGCTTCGAACGTGAAGGTAAAACAACATGAAGGTCAACCGATTCAATTTTGGGGTGAACTAACCTTCGAAAAAGACACAAAAATACAGTGTAGCCAAATGGGCTATTGATTTAGTCTTTAAATGTGGTCGGTGAAGAAACCTGCAGTGATTCTTGACTTCTGCAGTTGGATCTGCCTGTACATGTATTGCAGTAATTAATAACTGATGCTGATTGCTTTCTCAGTATGGGCGGCCAGTATTGGAAAGCCCTGAATCACAATCGGTTGCTTTCTCTGCCACCAGCTGTTGTTTCTTGAGCAAGACACTGAACACCATGAAGGCCTTTTGGCAGATTCTCACTCTTTCCCCCCCTGTCAGAAACCAGCAGCGATGTACCAAAGAAATTCCTGTGTGCCTGATGTATTAACAAGGAACATTTGGTGAGATCTGACATATGATTCCTCACGAAAATAATTACTGATAAAACTGTGATGATATGAAGATTTCTCAAAATGTGTTCTTAGATCTGTTTTTTATGTTTGTTTTTTTTATATAAAAGTGTATATCAAAAATTAAAGAGGAAAGGGAATCTGTGTATTTGAGTTTTATGATTCCATTTTACAACAAGTGCCAAATTTGTTTTGCAGTTGTGAAAAAGGTTTTGGAAAAAATTGTTGGACATTTTATGATAACTACAGAAGTATTCTGATTTTTAGTGTCCTTCACTTTGAAAAAGGCTGGGTTATTTTAACCCAATTCTGGGTGTAATATGGATTAAACTAACTGCTAGGTTAATTTTTTTAAATTAAATTTATAGGACTAAATTTCACCCAATGTTTGTCCATATTTGACCCAATTTGGGTTTAAATAACGCAGCATTGGCAACATGATGTCTCTAGTGGTTTGCACTTTCGCCTCGCAGCAAAAAGGTAGCTGGTTCAAGTCACGGCTGGGTCCGTTGGCATGTCAGTGTGGAGTTAGCATGTTCCCGCATGGGTTTCCTCCAGGTGCTCCGGTTTCCCACATGCACAGTCCAAAGACATGCGGGATAGGTAAATTGAATAAACTTAATTGTTCATAGTGTATGTGTGTGCATGTGAGAGTGTTTCTCAGTACTGAGTTGCACCTGGAAGGGCATCCGCTGTATAAAACACACAGTATGCCGGATAAGTTGGCGGTTCATTCTGCTGTTGCAACCCCTGATGAAGGGACTAAATTGAAGGAAATGAATGAATGGAAAATTTAATCCTATGTTTCGGTTTGTCCATATTTGACCCAGTTTTAAATAACGGCATTTTTAGTGTCCTCACAGTATCATGCTCCGGCTGGGTCAGTTGGCAATTCTGTGTGCAGTTTGCATGTTTCCCCATGTTCACATTGGTTTCGTCTGAGTGCTCCGGTTTTCAGTTAAAAGACATGGACTATAAATGAATTGAATAAACTGAATTGGCCAAATGTATAAATTAAAAACAGCTAGAAATGTGAAAGTACAGTTCAAAGAGGGTTCATATGTGAGTGTTTTATTATGTAATTATTTGTTTTGTTTTGTTTCTTTTATAGTTACTAAAATCGTATAATCAAAAATTACTTTTGAAAGACCACTGTGTAGCTTTATAGCCTTTTTTCTCTATTAAGAACAAAGATATTTATATATGTACATGTTAATCTGATTTGCTTGCACATCAAATTGAGACTAGTAAATTAAATTCAATTCCTGTTTATTCATAGAGCACTTTTACAATGTAGATTGTGTCGAAGCAGCTGGACATATAAGTTCTTGTAAATTGAAACTATCAGTCCAGTTTTCAGAGTTGAAGTTCAGTTTAGTTCAGTTCAGTGTGGTTTAAATTTCACTGCTGAAAGTCCAAACACTGAAGACCAAATCCATCGATATGAAGCTCCAAGAGTCTCAAACCAAGCAAGTCAGTGCCAACAGTTGCGCGAAAAAATACTTCACGAATTGACGAAAGTGAAGGGAAAAAAACCTTAAGAGAAAACAGGTTCAGTTGGACATGACTATTTCTCCTCTGGCCAAACTTCTTGTGCAGAGCTGCAGTCGAGGCACTGGAGGCGGTAGAACATGTAGGACATCCATCGTGGAGAAGCAGCAGGTGAAGTAAATGCTCAAAAAATAAAAAATAATAATAATTTAGTGTATCACAAACATTCATGTTAGGAATAAGTGTTTGTAGCTACAGTTGAAATTAGTTATAACGGTTCTTTTGCTAAATCCAACTCAGTCTCTTTTATGAAAACTAATTAAAAAAATTGTTCCCCCTTAGTGTAATTGTTGATGTTTGTAAAATGTTAAAAATAAAAATCCAAAACCAAAAGCTTTCACTTCAAGAACTTTTATTCAAGTTTTGGATATATCAGAGTTCAAATGAAGACAACTATATTATTTAATTATGATTCACTTACCTATTACGTAAAATGTTAGGAATTGGAAGACATAGAAAAGGTGAATCATTGGTGGACATAGTCATGATATTCATCAATAATGTCAATTTTTATAGTCTGATTTTTTTTATTTATATGTAAAATGAGGACTGTGGTTAAATGGAAAATCTTTATAATCATTCCTTACTCATCACTCTCATACCAATTCACAGAAAAAGGAGAACACTAGGGAGGAATAACATTGTCTTCCCATTGTGATTAGCAATTGTTGTCTGAAAAAAAAAAAAAAACATTGTGTGGCATTTCCCAGCATATCTTGGCATATATGTAATACTTTAATTTTGGGTCAGAAATTAATTTAACCTTACATGAAAAAGTCCTTTAATATGACAAAAAAGTCCACTGAAGTCCAAACGGAAATACAATCCACATTTAAGTTTATTTTCCATAAAAAAACGAAAGAATAATATGCAGGTTTTAGTTAGAAATTACTTTTTTACAGATATGTTTCTGCAAAATTACTTATAAAAACTTGAAAGACTAATATTCATTCACAGTCTATACTAATTTTGTAGTCACTCTGTGTCTATTAAACGTAAGATGCTATTTAGCTGCACTTTTTTAACCGAATGAAATAAGTTCACTTAGTTAAAAGACTTTTACTAAGTACATAACTAGGCTATGTCAAATGACTTTTATTTTGAAAAATAAAGAGAAAAAAATAAAGGCGCCATGAATTCTTACGGCTGGCTTCACATTTCCTCTCAGAGCCAGACAGGTCTGTACAAATAGCTGCAGATTAATTTACTATTGTATAATATTTATCTTGACATACTATTTTACAGTTATTAACAGTATTGTTTTAATTCATAATGTTTTATTTAAACGTCGTTACGTTTTATTGAAATACATTAACAGTTAGTGGCATGCATTTATATGAAAAAACGGACAAATCAAATCATTTAAAATGTGAATGAATGATAATATAATAAAGCAGACTACCATTACCATTACTTTAGTTCTGCCAGTCTATCTTACTAACTGATGTCTTCTTGTATGTACTATTCCTCAGAGTTATAAACAAACATGCAGCCTGCTTCATTTATATGACTCCATGTCTTGTTGGTTCATATGACATGAGCACGCTTCTATTATGGAGTCTCAGACCGGGAGAAAAAGTGCCAGAAGACTCTCAATGACCAAGAAAAAGAGCCAAAGTGTCTGTCCTATTAAAGAAAGAACAAGTAATGGAGGAGCTGCTTCCATAACCTCATTTTTCAGGAATACACCACCAAGTAAACTTGCCTGTCCTCTGTGTGGCAAACTTGTACCTCGTTACAAGATTAATGAACACATAGACTCCCAGTGTCAGAACTTTCTTGTGGAGGATGACGGAAAGCAAAAGGAAATCACCAAAGCACCTTCTAACAGTGCTTTAGCATCAAATAATGAGAGAGAGAAAAGTCCTGGAGACAAAGATGCTGATACTAGTCCGTTTTTCAAAAAGAACTGTGCAGTGAGGAGAGATTCATCTGAAACAGATTCACAAGCTAAACCGGTTAAGACTGTTGGTCTGGGAAGTTTATCCTCTAAACTCTCTAGACGAGCACTTAGACTTTCAGATGAGTCCGGAGTAAATCTTACTCGCGTCTCAGATAATGAAAAGGATCATAATGCAGACTTGAACAGATCACAGAAGGAAAACTGCATGAATAGTTTAACTTTTGGGTCTGAAAGAAATGGCACGGATGCAGATAATATATTAGAAACAGAGCCAGAAGCTTCAAATCAACCACAGCTTAAAAATGTTGAGAAATCTGCATCAGATTCAAGCATAAGCAGTGATGTTCACACATCCTCATCCAGTGTACTGAAGCGAAAGTCCATGGAGATACCTAAAAATGACACAAACACTACAGAAACATGTATTGCACATAAGAAAAGTAGATTTTTTCAAAGCAGTATTGAAAGAGGAGATGAATCTAAGGTCAAATCAGATCAAACTGAAGCTTCGTCTAGTGCATATGATGTTCCAACATCAAAGAGTCCAATCAAAAGCAAAACCACACAGGAGGAGATTGAGAAGGAGCTGAATAAGACACCGGCTAATGAACACAACATGCTTGATGTTGAGAAAGTGGGTGAGGGATCAGAGCAGCAGCCCACCAGGTTGCCTTATTATCTGCGAAACTTTCGGACTGTCCTTGAGGCTGTGTTGGAGAATGAGGATGATAGGAGGCTCTTCAATGAAGACGACTTCTCAACAATTCAGTCTTTTCAGCAGCTTTCAGGTAGAGAAATTACTTAAAAGTCAATTTGAAGTGTCAGTTCTGCTCTTAAATGCAACCGTAGTTTACATGCACTTCAGCCGAGTTATGTAACATGCATTGTTTAAAACCTTGTGATCAGTGAGATTTGTATTTGTTTGTTTTTGTCAAATAATGTTATGTTTCATATTAAGCAAGGAGTCCAGAGATTGATCAGGAGTAACAGTAAAGACATTTATAATGTTTTCTTTTTTTAGAAACATATTTCTGTTCATCCTGAATGCTGATAATCATGGTTTCCACTAAAACTTTAAGCAGCACATTAGTTTTCATCACTTGATAATAAGAGATGATTCTTGAAAACACAGAGTGTTCTTGATACGTGGATTACTCATTTAGTTGGGTTTGGTTATTGACGATTTGACACGATCCAGAATATATATATATTTTTTAAATTGATCTGAGAGTTGTTGCCATAGCAACAGTTCTGGTTGCTCAAACATGCTCAGGAGCAGCCTTGTTTCATATAAACAGGATTAGATTGTGTTATTTCAAGCAAAGGAGATACTTAAAAGTATGATGATATATTCTTACAATAGTAACAGTACAATAGTAAGGTTATATCCTGTGTATTAATTTGGGGAAAATTATATATTTTTATATATATATATTTCAGAGTTTTTGTTGTTTTATTACATGACACATTCAAGTCGTTGTAAAATCTATTCCTTCAAACCCAAAGATGCAGGTATTATTCATGCGTAAAAGCATGTAGACAAACACAACATAAGTACTAATACATTTCCATGTGAATACACTCCATTTTATGAGTGCACCCCATTTTGAAAAAAAAAATATTTCTCCATTTCTCAGTGAATATAGGCAATGTATTTTGGTGCATGTAAACAAAACAGATTTATTAAACAGATATATTTATTCAAAACATATTTTAGTCACCGAACATATTAAGAAATCAAAAAAATAATACAATTAGATTCAAGCAAAATATATAGCAAAAATAAATTACTACCTACAAAATTTTAACTACATTTTTTACATTTTTTACTTCTCTTGATTTTTCCTCTATTTTAAATTTGTATTAATATTTTTCCATAACATAAATTTGGGTGTACTAGTTTTTGGACCGTTAAGTAAGTTATTTTGTTAAATACGCTCCAGATTTAACTTCAGTTCTGACTAATCTAATGTATATGCACAAATATAATATTTTATAGCTTCTTATTAAAAAATATTTTAAAAGATAGATTTGCGAGGGGTGAACTTATATATGCTGAGCTGTGTGTGTGTGTGTGTGTGTGTGTGTGTGTGTGTGTGTGTGTGTGTTTGTTTTTATCACATGGTGGGGACCTCAGCATGATAGCACACTCACAAAGTGGGGACCAAAAACATAGTGGGGACCGATCGCCCGGTCCCCACTATGTTTTGCCTTTAAAAGACTCAGGGGGCGTTGCTGATATGCCTAGTGCAGTTTTTTTCACTGATCCCCACCTTGACCATTTACCTGAATTGAGTGTGTAAGTGTGTGTCGGCGCACTGCTCTATAGCGGTCCTGTAGTCGGATGGCGGTACTGCACCCTGACACACACTTGACGCAGTTCACACACTCTGCCTACTGCACATGCGCAGATCTCATAAATGAATCCGACTTTAATCAACTTAATTAAGATCTATCATCAAATTATTCGAATTTTTGGGTAAGTTAGAATGTTTTTCACCATCATAATGTAATAAAATAGGTTATATGACAAATACTTATGTTGCATATTTTGACAGTTATCAGGTATAGTTAATTAAATGTTTTAACGAATTTCCTGGGTGTTTTAATCGATGTTGTTTCAAATTACGTATTAATATAACACCGATAAGACACAAACTACAGTTCGGTATGTAATTTAACTTGTTTACACGAGTAAAAGTTACTCGCGCTAATGTGCTAACGTGCTAACTGCCCGGTGCTACGTGAGTCAGAGGCCGGGGTGGAGTGCATGAGCCGCGGTCAGACAGTCACCAATCACCGGGCGGCTAAATGGATCGACGGAGGATAAAACCATTAAAAGATGCGGAGAAACACATCACCAGCTCCACTGACAAGACCCATTCACTGGAAACCGAATATATAGAAGGTTACTAAGGTATGTTTTCATAGTTCTTGTATCGTACTAAATGGTTAATTGCTTTAAACATTTAACGTTAATCCTGAAATAACACTATTATATACTATTTATACGTTAATGTAGTAATATAGAGGTTATAATTAAAATGTGGGGCTATCTGGTCCTAGAAATGTACTTAATTTATTGTTCTATGACGTGTAGAAACGTTTTATTTTAGATAAATAATTATAATAAACTCCAACTTAGTGTAAAACATATATAAAAGTACATAAATGTACACTGTGTGTGTTTTATTTATTTATTTGCTGTCAACTGGTAGCCTTTTACAATAAGGTTAAATTAGTTAATGCTGGTTAATGCATTTACTAACATGAACAATAAATAATACTTTATTACAGTATTTGTTCATGTTGTTTAACTTTAGTTAATGAAAATAAAGTTGTTCATTACTAGTTAAACACGCACAATGCATTAATTATTGCAATGCATTATTACTGGTACAAGCATGAATTTAGATTTGAATGATGCATTAGTAAATGTTAAACTATGATTAATAAATGCTGTACATGCATTGTTCATTACTAGGTCATGTTAGTAAGTACATTAACTAATAAAACCTGATTGTAAAGTGTGACCTGTAAACAATTGAAGTGGAAAAAAAGTTCTTTAAAACTGTCCTAAGAAAGAAGAACAGGTGTTCAATAGTATTAGAACAACATTGTTGAAAGGTTCTAATCCACTTCAAAAGGTTTACTGTATTTATAATTCACACACAGAGAGGATGCTAATGTGAGGTTTTTGTAGTTTTTGAACCCTACACATTAAATCTTTTAGGTCAGAGTTTGCGTTGTCCACATTTATTAAAGGAAGTTTTGTGGTTGAGTACAAATGATAGAGCTTGTGGAAGCAAAGCATATATGAGATATAATAAAAATACTGTCTTTATGTTTGACTTTATATGGTAAAACAAGAACAGGTGGTTAAGTGTTTTCCCCATTCAAATGTACATGTATATATTATATTCATTGTGTTTGTATTCATGCCATAGTTTAGCTTTTTATTGCTATAAGAGGGCACAATTAAAATGTTGCTTGCTCTTTTCTCTTAGTTTTGCAGCATTGATGCCGATCATGAGGACGATCTGCACCCTAACTGCACTGTCAATAAGATCGTTGTTCAGAGAAAACCTCATTTGTGCCTTTTTGCAATCAGGGATATTTTCTTTGGAGAGGAAATAACGTTTGACTATGGCGCATGTGATTGGCCTTGGAGAAAGGTTTGACATTTTGATCACTTAATACATTAATCCTTAATACATTCAGCAAAGCTAAGAGTTTTTTAATGTTAATATAGATTAAGGGTAAATCTGTTCAAAAATAAAGAGTTTGCATCATCCATAAGAGATAATAAAATCAATCTCTTAATATCTTCTTCTTGTCTTAATGGGTAAAAAAAAGTTAAATTAATTGGGTAATGCTTTACTTTAAAGGGGGGTTCATAAGACTGTCATGAAAGCTTTATAGTCATGACATGACTTATATAACAAAGCTGTTTTTAAATAGCTTTCATTGAAGGATGCCCATATGACTGCAGAAGAAAACTGCTCCGACAACTCTCTGATGAGGTATGTTTATTAGTATTATTATTATTATTAGTAGTAGTAGTAGTGAATGTTGTTGCTGTAGTAATGCATTTAATTTTAATTATTTAACTTGGTGTGTGTCCTAATTTATGAACATATGCAATAGTGTAACATTGTGGGGACCAGAGGCATGTTAGAGAAGCTGTGAAACACACTTAGTCCTGAATACACACAGTACGGTCTGACATAGTGGGGACCAGGAGCCCTGAGTACTACTGTCTAATTATTATTTTTTGTTTTTTATATTTAGCTTTTATTGAAGTATGACCAAATGACGAGAAGAAGAGAACTGCTCTGCTCCAGTAGGAGACCCACAACCCTCTGATGAGGTGGGTTTAAATTTAATAATAATAATAATTATTATTATTAGTAGTAGTAGAAGTAGTAGTAGTTGTTGTTGTTGTAGTAGTAGTGCATTTAATTATAATTATTTAACTTAATCAAAATCTAGAAATGAAACAGAGTGTGTGTCCTAATTGGTGAACGTATGCAATAGTGTAACATTGTGGGGACCAGAGGCATGTTAGAGAAGCTGGGAAACACACTTAGTCCTGAATACACACACAGTACGGTCTGACATAGTGGGGACCGGAACCCTTGAGTACTGCTGTCTAACTAATATATATATATATTTTTTTTTTCAGCTTATATTGAAGGATGACCATATGACAGAGGAAGAGAACTGCTCTGCTCCAGTACGTGACCCACAACTCTGATGAGGTGTGTTTAATGTTGTTGTTATTATTATTAGTAGTAGTAGTAGTAGTAGTAGTAGTAGTAGTAGTAGTTGTTGTTGTAGTAGTAGTGCATTTAATTGTAATTATTTATCTTAATCAAAATCTAGAAATGAAATAGAGTGTGTGTCCTAATTGGTGAACCCATGCACTAGTGTAACATTGTGGGGACCAGAGGCATGTTAGAGAAGCTGTGAAACACACACAGTACGGTCTGACATAGTGGGGACCGGAACCCTTGAGTACTGCTGTCTAACTAATATATATATATTTTTATATTCAGGTTTGCTGAAGTATGACCGTATGACAGAAGGAGAGAACAGCTCTGCTCCAGTACGAGACCCACAACTCTGATGAGGTGTGTTTATTAATATTGTTGTTGTTGTTGTTGTTGTTATTATTATTATTATTACTAGTTGTTGTAGTAGTAGTAGTAGTTGTTGTTGTAGTAGTAGTGCATTTAATTGTAATTATTTAACTTAATCAAAATATAGAAATGAAACAGAGTGTGTG